TCGGAGCGAGGGGAAAGCTTTAAAAAGGGACAAAAAATCGACGCCACGTCAGTGCCACTGCCCCTTGCCCGCATGGAGACAACAACAGCCACACCAAGGGAACTCAACGAAGACGACCTCGCCTTTCTAGAACGCTACAGCGCGTTTAGGCGTTCCCAGCACGCTGGTGGCGAGGAGCCGTCACAGGACCAGGAACGGCCCGCCTCCGTCAGCACATCCTCCACCTATGGACCACCTGCCTGGCTGAGGTACGCACAGCGCCAATCAATATTATTTTATGGTCAGCGAAGGAGAAGGTTGTTTCTCTAAAGTTTCCTTCTAGGCAGCCACCATGTACGGATGTGTTCGTCAGCTTTATTTCCTGCGAACCAGAATCGAGCAACATTCCCACTACCCTAATGTGGAGGCCACCATCAAATCGGACCCTGATGCTCGCTTTCTGGTAAGCGCCATACTTATCTGAAGCGCCTTACCTTAGAAAGTTCCCATTGTTCAACCAGTGTCGCCTTCTCTGGGCACTATTAGGACTTGGGGAGTTGCTTCGCCACCGACACCAGAAAGGTCATCGTCGACGGGTGGAAGGAGACAAACATTGTGGCCGCAGATGTTATCCCTGACTTCTGGTACCGCGCATTCACTGGCTTGCAGTGTTATCACCAGTGATAACAGTAGTTCAACAGGAACTACGGCTTGGCGCTGCACGAGGACGCTTCTGACATCAAATGTAAGGTGGCCATCGGCGACGTAACGAGCGATTCCGACTTCGTGAAGTCTCTTGTGGCAGAAGGGCTCTTCGCCCATGTGTGGAACGGCGCCGTGCTGCACGTGCTCACCGAGGAGAAGGTGGAGGCTCTCTTGCGCGCCGTGTATTCTATGCTGCGGCCTGGCGGGACATACTTTGGTGACTGCGTCGGCACCAGCGCCGAGCCGGGGCAATGGGAACCCCCGCTGCGCAACCGCACAACTGGGTACCATCACTCGAGCGAGTCGCTCACGCAAACGCTGGAACGCATAGGCTTTGTAGAGGTGGAGGTGCGCGGAGTGAAGCTTGATCTGCCGGGACTCGCAGCCCCGCCGGACCGCTTGTTCCTGTGCTTCTCCGCAAAGAAGCCGCAGTAATCCACACCAAAATAACAAGGACGAATCGTTGTGAGTTTACCTGTTTGCGCCTGGGCACTAGGGCGACAAGCTGTGAAACGTGTGCCCACTGTGTCAGCAGTCTCCTTACTCAAGATTAAAATTCAATGGCGGAGGAAAGGAAGACAGAGGAGGCAGTAAGAAGGACAACACATATTATGTGTACAATGGCAACCTCAGCATACACTACAAAACAGGTAATATACTCTCAATGTCAGACAGTGATATGCTGCATGGTGCTGGCATTCAACATGCTTGGTGAGGAGCACAGAATAGGAAACAGGTTGCTGTACTGGGTGAAACACACAAAGCAAGATGGAAGTGTTTATCCACATCATGTGTGATTTCATAATCCTTGGTGAGTGGTTCCACCATTACATGTTATGCATTGTTGTTTCCTTGATGACCATGCAAGCCAGGCAGGGTACATGTTACCACCAGTCCTACCTCCACTCTCATTATGTCATGCCTCCCCACTGTCTACACACACCACAGATGACAACAATGCTTGTCAGCCACTCAACAGTCCAGGCTAAAGTGCCAGTGAAGAATGAGTAGTGCATCCTCCCACACCAGCCTGGACCCAAAATGGAGAATTTGCTGAAGGGTGTGTGAATTGGGCAACCTGGATTTTTTTGTCAGGATGCTATTCCAATTGGAGGATATTGGCGCCTAATTGACCAATGCAGGATACTCTACAAACCCCTTGATGTTGCTTTGGGTGTTATTGATGTGACATAAAGGAACTACTTGAATTTGATCCACTCCAAAACAATCATCACCAATGCATCCAAAGACACCATGTGCCCTGGATTTAGTTAAAGTAATAAATAAACAAATTTATCAAAATAAGACTATCAATTGTAAAAATTAAAAAAAGAAAGGCACAGATGGGTGTGGGTACTGTGCAGTGCATTTGGATTTGGCACCCACTTCTATGATTGCATTGACCTCCCACTGTGCCACCAACTCTGGCTGCCTGTGGAGGAGGGTGTCACATTCCATCTTGGCACCAATGAAGTAGCAGTACAAGCACCATGAGCAGCAACAAACCAAGTGTTCACAAAAAAGGGTCAGTGACTCTTTTTCACTAACACCAACACCAGTGTGTAGATTGTCTTGGCCCTTGGTGCCCCACCACCAGCATGCCAAGTTATGGGGATAACCAACTGTAATGGTACAAGGAAGGCAGCAGCAGCAGCAGAAACAACAATGATCTGCTGAATCACACAGAAAAAAAGGATGAAGAGAAAGAGGCTAGACAAATGGTGAAGAGGCCTCTCCAATGAGCTGAGACTGGCCTATCATAACTGCTGTCTCCAGTGCCCTTGGTGCACAGGACCTGGCAGACATCCCTGAAGCTCATGTATGTTCTCACCAGCAACATTGGACTGCATGCAGTTCCTGTGCTGCCTGTTGCTCACGGACATCCAGGTGCTCATCAGCATTGCATGTGGAGGAGCATCCCCCTCTGCTGCAAGGAGTTGGGGCTCAAGCTTGTTGACAATGTCCTGCTAGTAGGCCATGGTGAGTTGACAGCAAATCCAGTCTCCCCATAGGAGAAGTGGTTGTTGCCAAGGATGACAGCCCTGCAGAGCTGGGTCTTGATGAACTCACATTGCATCTTGAGGAAGTCACCATCATAGACCTTGGGTGAGTACCTGCCCCAGAGAGCATGGAACCAGCTGCATGCATCAAGCAGAGCCATGAAGTGTTGGCCAGGTGAGTTGAGCTTGTAGCTCCATGATGGGTCCTTTTCTTTGTCACCCAGCCAGATGGATGTCAAAGGAGTCAATCCAGAGGCAGACACCTGCCACTGGACCAGTGAGGTTGAGCTCAGCAGCCAGGCGGTGCCAGGAAGCAACTTTGCTGAGGTTCACCATGAGCATTGCCCACCTCTTGTGGACATGGTGTAGCATGTGCTTGATGAGCATTAGAGACATGCCTTGGTGTCAGTGTAGAGAGAATCCTGACTGATAGTGTAGCAGTCCTTGTAGAGTGTCACAAGACTGAACCAGCAAAAGAAGTGCTTGCTGTGCCAGAGGCCCCAGAGTGGTGGTTTGTTGGCAACAACAGGGGCAGGGATCCACTTCTCAATGTGCTCTGTAACTTGTGCTTGTGAGAGAGGCATGGTGTAATGGTGGTATGCTGCTGTTGCATCCTCTTCACTTTTTTTGTACCCCACAAAAATAGCAGGCACCCTGTATAGTGTACATTTTCCTGTGATTTTTGTGTGTACAGCCAGTGCAGTGGCTTTTTGCCTTGGTCAGAAGAAAAAAAGAAAAGGTGAGAAAAGATGAGAAGTAAAAAAACCGTGGATGAGATGGATGACGGTCGTGTGGGCGGCCCGTTGATCCGGCCCCTCAGCTACTACCTTCAGTACCCTTCTCCGCAAGTGCCACCTGCCGAATTTACATCAAGGGGGCGCTTTCTCCATCATCAACCCCCAGTAGTGCCCAGTTACAACCACAATTCGACGGAGAAGTTGCTGCTGGAGGCCGACCTGCTCTTCAATGAGCTGCAATCCTCCTCGTCTCCGACAAGTTCTCACGTGCTTTGTATGTCCCTGCTTTCCCTCTCTTGTAAATCAAATTGAATCACGCTTTAATTTCAATCCGTTCAATTTGGGCAGCCGCGACTCGACTCCTGACCAAGACCAGGGACCCGCTGCCCAACGCCGCCGCCGCCGCCTCGGAGCCAGCGGCCACGACCAAGACGAAGGCGAGGAAGCCAGCAGAGGCCACCGTCACCTCCACCGCTGCCGCCCCCACCAAACGGCAACGAGTGGAGCAAGGAGCGGAGGATGAGCGCTACGAACGAGTTGAGGTCTCCGAGCTCGAGCAGGCCTCGACCGGGCAAATAGCCGAGCCGAGCCGAGACAGCGACAGCGACAAGAAGAAGAAGAAGACCAAGGAGCGGAAGAGCAGGGCAGCAGAGAAGAACACGAAAAAGGACGAAAAAGAGAAGGCCAAGGGGAAGCGAGCAAGAAGATCGGCCGATGAAGCGCGCCAAGAGGACGAAGAGGAGGAGCCCAAGAGGCGGCGTAGGATTCAGCGGACGGAAGACAAGAAGGCCGGACAGGCGAGGCCCACCACCTCCTCAGACGGGCGTTGGAAGAGTACTGCCTGCTGCCCTCTCGGTCTTTGGTGTCGTGCTCTCTGCCTAACAGTCAACGTGTTGTGTGTTGTGTGTCATGTGTCTTCTGATGTAGCGGGGAAATACGTGTGCGCTGAACACTTTCGGGACAAGTGCGCCACGTGTACGGAACGCACGCCCGTATACCTCAAGTATGGCATCACGTTCACCGTGCAGAAAGGCAGAAACTTT